TTCGTCTCGGAAATTAATAAAGATTTTTTTTAAAAAAGAAATACAAATACAAAGTTGGAAAAGCAACATTTCAATTACATTAACTTGATCAATTATAAGAGAACAACAGCTACTGTGGTTAAGAACCATGAGACATATTTTGAGACTAGGAAGGGGCAGATGGGAATAGACTGCTGAATCTTCCAACAGTTGAAATGGTTGACTCTACTTATTCTATGGGATATCTCTGAAAAAAATTTGACCGAAATATTTTACATTTGCTAGAAAAAGTTGAACTGAATTGAACACCTCATTTATTTTTAAGTGAAGAACAACCTTCAGGCTAAGAAAAACAATTATGGTCCTTGAATTCAATTATTAACATACTATTGTAAATAGGTCCCCTCCCCAGGACATTCTTCCCATTTCTTTGAAGTTTTAGCATATGTTTCCATTTCTATAGCTCACACACACACAGAAAATGCATTATTTCCTATTTGAATTCATATTTCCTATGAAGTCTGTCTTGACTTTGTTTTAAATTTGCTGGGCTAATTCCCAGCTATACAAGATCATGGGACTTTGTTTAAAATTCCGATTGCTAGGCCCTGTCCCTAGAGACTGGGATTCAGCAGGTCAGAAGGGGGCCCAAACGTGAGAATTATTAAGTACTTTGAGGATGGTGACAAGCTGCAGGGAAGAGGGACAAACAGAGGGCATTGTTCTAATTTAAGGTACATACACTTCTAGAGTATTTTTTTTCTTCTCTTTAGAAGTCAAGTGAAGGCAATTACATTAAGAAAGGCTGCCTATAACCATAAGCCAAGCAAATTGCTCTTACTGCTCTGAGATGCAAAGCAAATAGTTATGGGTGTGCTATATAATTTGTCTGATACTTTCACATTCTTTTAACTTGGGTTTTAGTCCAGGGGAAGAAACAGTATTTTCCCATCCAGAAAAGCCAGTATAATCATGTTTGTATATACGGTAAGCTTCAAGTAATTATCTAACATTCCATTTTTGTACCATATTCTGGGCAAATTACCGGCCTCTGATCAATAAGACTTTGTGTTAAGTGTCTGTAAACCGAAACCAAAGAATGAAAGTTCCGATCAATGTTCAGCCAGAACTAATTATTTTAAATTTTCTGAAAAAATATCAGAATTCCTGAGAATGTAGATCCCTATTATTGGACCTGGCATACTTATTTTAATATGTAAAACAAGTTACTTTCCATTATTATTCTTTTCTTTTGCTTCCAACAAAAGAAACGAAATATTTCATGTCTGACCACATCATTAGTCAAAGACACAGTGGAGGGATTATACTTTTATTTCATAATTCTAGTAAAATTTATTCTTTTTCCCTTCTCTCTTTAACATGCATGCACACACATGCACACGCACACACAGAATTTGCTATCAGGAATTCTAAAGTGAAAATATGTTTACTCATCATAGTATAATAAGTTAGTAATAATCTAAAGAAATTGATCCTTCTTGGTTATCATTGTGATATGTGATCCCACTTTTTCTGGAAATGCTGTTTTTTAAAATCTGCAATACATGGATAATTGCCGATCTCAAAAATGTAAGCATTAAGCGAAATCACATCAAAAGATACAGTCATCCAAATACCAGTCCCCCAAGTCAAATATTTCTTTTCCTTGTTGCATTTCCAATCAGCCGAGGGCATTATCATGAACGCCCATACTTGTAATCATGCTATAGATATATTATCTCCTGCTTATATGGCCACTTCGTTTGCATCGTCTTTATGTTGCCACATAGTTCTCTAATGGTTTTAAATGTCTATGTAATATTATATTGGGTGGTTATACCATGTACTCTTGGACTTTCCAATATTCTTGCGCATTCACATTATTTACAAGGTTAAAAATGGGAGTTTCATTGCTGACAAGACCTGTGCTTTAAATGAGCAAGAGTGTATGTTTTGACCCTGGAGCTAGCATATAAATCATCTGATTATATGGACCATTTAAACAGATAACTTCTTCATGGAGCTGAAATATTTGCTGTACATACCATATCTGTACTGTGAGGAAGCATGTTCTTTGTAAATGGTATGGCACATCATCCCAGACTCACTGGCTTTCTGCTTGCCACTGTATCTCCCTTAGGAAATTTCAGTTCGTTTTCCCTAGTCATGTGGCCCAGAAGCCCAGAGCTGAGTACTGGGATGTGAATGATTTGCTTACGTGGATTCAGACCTTTGAGGTTCTCAAAGAATATGGTTTCCTCATTCTTCCCAATAATTTCTCTAATTAGTTCAAGGAAATTGAACAAAGTTCTGAGATTTGCTATGATGGCTGCTTTAATTATTTGTTTTGTTTTGAAATATTAAATTTTTTCATTTCCTTTTGGGGTCACCTGGTTAGATTTGTACCCTAAGCAAATGTTTCCTCTTTTCTGAAGTAACTAAACAATTGATAATAGTTCATTAGGTTGGGTGTTCATACAAGAACATTTGCTCTGTACCCTAAAATTCTTGATCACCAATTGCAAACAAAAATATTGTCTGAATTTTTTATATTAAATCTTATCACTTTACAAGATATGGATTCCTTTAATTCTATCATGGTAGCACAAGGGTCACCAATAGACGAGATATCTGACTAACTTGCATGTCTTGAATTGACGTCATCATCAGTTCAAGGGAATTTTGAAGGAAGAGAACTGGTATTTTATCAAACAGACTATGTTAACAAGAGTTTCCCCATACAGTAAGACTACAAAACAGGAGGTAGTCTTTTGTTATTCAGGATATGATTAATATTGCCTCATCATTTAATTTTAGGACTTCAATTTTAAAGTTTCATTTACATTTTTATAACTGTTTTATATATAATTTGAATCAGATTTATTTCACTTAACATTGCTTTATATGTTTTTTTCCTATGTTTACACTCTTCATGTCAGTTGTAATTTTTGTACACCATTCTATCCTTCTGATATTCCATAATGTTCCTAAGTGTGTCCCCTATTACTAGGCATTTAGAATGCTTAATTGTCTATCAAGTACATGATGATAATTGTTAAGACCCTGGTCCACACACCATGTTGATATTGTGCATATAAGTCATCGAGGTGACCTGATCCTGGCATGATTTGTCTTTCTCAATCTGTGTTGTGCATTTTTTACTGAATTTCTTTTTTGTTTGGGGATGGGGGTTAGAGGGGAGAGGGGCAGGTTGTAATCCACTTCATGGGTGTGTAACCCACTTCATTTTTGTCTTTCTTTCCTCAGTGGTGAAAGTGGTGCTGGAAAGACAGTGGCGGCCAAATACATCATGAGTTATGTCTCCAGAGTGTCTGGAGGAGGCCCCAAAGTCCAGGTGAGTTTGTGATGTAGCCCATTTTGAGACTCTGTCCTACATGAAATGTAAGAGGCTCCATAATTGTCAGATCGGCAAACATTTTGAAGTGTTTGAAACATTCTATTGGTAAAAAAAAAAAAAAAAAAAAGCTGGGCATAGTCCTCTCATACCTCCCTGGTAGGAGCATGATCTAGTATATGTACTTTTCTGGAGGGCATTTCAGCAAACTTTATCAAATCTACACGCATGCACCTTTGACTCATTAATCCTGCTTAAGAGAATGTGTCCTTTACTAGTAGATGTGCTGAAACATATGCAAAATGATACTTGTATAAAGTTATTTGATGTGACATATTTTGTAAAAAGAGGCTCATGAAATTAATTTTTAAAATCCATTTTATTTAACCCAACATATCCAAAACATTATCATTTTAATATTGAAATATTGATGAGATATTTTACACTCTTGTGGGTTTTAAATTGTTGGAATCCAGTGTGTATTCAACCTTTACAGCACATCTCAATTGGGACTAGCCATGTTGCAAATCAAAGCTACCTGTGGCTCATGGCTTCCATCTTGGACAGTGAGTGTAGCTCCAGAACCTAGGCTGGCGCGGTGCAGTCCACGTGCTTTTTTCCATTCACGTAGCCACATCCTCTCTCTAGAAGACTGATACGGAGACAGGAATCCAGGATGCCATTTTGTGGTGGGCTGTTCCTTTACTGTAATTTGCTCTTTCTCTTTTCCCCAATACGCTTACCACAAAATCCTACTGGACATCTTGAGAGTGGATGAATGGATGGATAGATAGGTGAATGGATGGAAACATAAAGATTCTCAGTTAACACGTCAGTAATTAATGAAGAGACAAGGACAAGTCTTTCTTTTGTTCTCTCCCTATGCCATGAGAAACTGAGTGTTGATAAGTGGTGTAGGTGTGTCTGATTAGCAAACAGAGATAAAGGATTAGGAAGATCCACATGTCAAAATTAATTTTACAATGAAAAGCAAGGTTTATATAAATTCATGAGTTTTTTAAAGAAGACTAGTTGGATTGGAAGTGATATTTCTAAATTTTGAAACTGACCTCATCGAGGGACCACCCAGAACTTGCCTCTGGTGCCATCGCTAATGACATGGCCCCGGTCGATGGGATTCCAGTTCTTCCTCTTCTGAGTGCTCAGGAGGGCACCAAAGGGAGCACGTTGGCTGTTACGTACTCAGTTAGTAGTTAGTGCCTTCATCCAGCCCGTGTTCTCCAGACCATGACTTAGTGGCCAGACTGCAGACATTTAATGTTGACTTTTCTCTTCCTGTTTTCCTATGAGGACAATGAGGCAGAGCTCTTGGCTTGAAATTAGTCAGTAGCTACAGAGCACAAACCAAAGACTTGTTATTTCTGGAACATGTTTAACCATAGCATGTGAATAATTAGAAGTACAAGGCATGACTCACTTGTTGAAAGACCTCTCCAACATCAACTCCTGTCTACTGAGCTATCTTGCCCAGGAGGTGTTTTGCACACTTTTCAGTCTGGTACCAAACGAGGGTGTTTGAAACCCCAATCCCTGCCCTCCGGTGGGCCAGGAATTGTTCTGTACAAACCAGCATCTGCTCTTGCTGCTCAAAACATGGCTTCATGTTGGCAGAGCCAGGGGCACCGGTTAGAAATGCAGGCTCTCAGGTCCTGCCTCAGACCTACTAGACCCCCATCTGCATTTTACCAAGATCCAAAAGTGAGTGCCGCACATGAAAGTTTGGGAAGCACAAAACTGTGTCCACAGCCTTGCTTGAGTAGGAGAAACAGTTTCATTTTCCTTAAGGTCCCTGTCCCTTGCAGTGAGAGGGTGGAGGTGGGGGTGCAGCAGGCAGGGAGAGCAGTTGGGTAGAGAAGGGATAGGGATAGTCAAGAATCAGATCAGAGCAGCGAGGAGATGCCCCTTCCTGCTCCACTCTCCTTCCTGTGGGAGTCCCGGCACCCCAGGCGCCCCAGGGCTGCGGGGTAAGCACAGCAGGGTGGAGGCCCAGGCCAGGAGTGTTTGGAGATCCTGATTCACTGCTGGGGCCCTGGCTCCAGGACTCCTGCCTGAATCCAGGGAGTTGGAAGACACAAACCCACTAACAGGTTGAAGTCTGTCGAGAGGAAAGAGTAAATCCTCCTGAACCTGGGGGGACATGTGGACTTGAGGCCACTCCCTGCTGCACCCAGAAGCCGGGTCCTTCGGGAGTGTTTGGCATTGCTCAGTGTGGTGGGTGTGTGTGCCTTCCTGACCCCTGGTCTGTTTGCTGTGACAGCACGTCAAGGACATCATCCTGCAGTCCAACCCGCTGCTGGAGGCCTTCGGCAACGCCAAGACCGTCCGGAACAACAATTCCAGCCGATTTGTAAGTCTCTTTTCTCCTTCGGGAGATGCCGCCTGGCTGGTGGTGTGGATACGCCCGGTTTAGGTCCGGTGTCTCCGAGGCAACGGGAGCTTTCACATGTCATCAGGAGGCTGCCTTTTGCATCTTGTCTTCATTTTCTCTAGCGGCGTGCTGTCAGGCTTCAGTTTGCCCTTTTAGCGGAAGTTATTTTTGAACCCCGGGATATAAATCAGCTAATTTTTTAATACAGTTCTCAACTTGAGTTGCCTTCCTAAGGAAAATAGAAGTTGGTGCTGGAGGAGTTTGCTTTGTGCCCTGGAGGAAAGAGACCTTCTTTCCCAGACAAAGTAATAAGTAGGCTGGGTCCCAAAGCCTGTTCTTTTCATTTACTTACTTATTTACTTATTCATTTATTTATTCGTTCGTTCATTCATTCATCTTGATTGATTTCAGAGAAGAGAGTCTCATTGATCGGCTGTCTCCTCACGCCCCCTATTGGGGATCAAGCCCCACAAAGTGGGCATGTGCCCTGACTGGGAATTGAACCATGACCTCCTGGTTCATAGGTCGATGCTCAACCACTGAGCCACGCTGGCTGAGCCCAAAGCCTCTTGCTTTGCTCTTGCTCATAGACTGGGTCTGTGGAAAATGAAGGGATAACACACTATGATCCGGCACCTTGTAGAGAACCCTCCTCTCTATGTCAGTCAGAGTGAGTTGACTGCCTCCTCCCTCATAGGCTGGTGTGTTTTATGTATTCCACATAACTTAACAACACCCCAAAATGATTGGACTTAACCTGATAGATTGCCTCCTGACCAGCCCATTTACCCACGGTAATGAAAATGTCAGCAGAAGGCATTATCATGAATGCCCATGACAACGCTTTTCTGTCTGAGCGTCTCCTGAGAATTGGAAGGCTGGCAAGGATGAAAATAAATATATTCCCCTTGACAAGAAGCCACACTTCCAAAAAACAGTATTTGCCCAGTAGCTTTGATTTATGTAGATTTTTCGTCTTAGCTCATAGACTGTGTCTGGCAGGAAAGCATTCAAGGAGCTATCTTTAAGGCAGATGCTGGACCATTTTAAAATAAATAAGTGGGAATTTGGGAGAAAGATGATTTCTTTTTCACCTTTCTGTTTTGTAAGGAAGCTTCTATTTTCTAAGAGAATCCTTTAAGCTCTCATGCAGTGATTGTTTGGTTCCCTCGTGATTTATATCTGTCAGAATTGCCCTCATTTTCCTTGCTGTTCAATATTATTCAAACCATTTGTTCAGTTGTTGATCTGTCTTTTTTTTCTTCTTCTCATTGGTTTGGTTGTGTTATCTTGAAGAAGTTTCTAGGTAATGCAATAGGAAAGAAGGTGGGAATATATATATCTTCCACTTGACCTTTTCCCCCCTTTTAATCTCAGTCTTCCTTGTAAAAATGGATTTGACCAAACTTAACTCTCTTGCTACCAGCCCCCTTCTTTTGCCCATTTAGAGAGCAGAAAATAATTAAGTCAATAGTGCTCTTGATTTTTTTTCCAATAAAAATTATTCCTTATCCTGAGACAAGAATGATACATTGGTCAATTTTTGTAAAACAAGACAAAAATATCCAGCAATTTATATTTTTCGGATTACAAAATAATGTCTTACGGCCCCCCAAAAAGATGTGAAAGAGTATAGATGGGCACATTACACATAGAATAACATCTAATGGGCATCCAAGGATGTTCCTAGGAATAATGAGAGAAATATAAATTAAAACCATGTATCATTTTCTGTCTCTGAGGTGGGCAAGTGTTAAGGAGATTGATACCAGAGAAAAGACACTATTGGTTAAAAGTGGACACATTTCTGCTGGAGAGCAACTTGCCATCTTTACCAAAATTGAAAATGTTCATTGTCTGTGACCCAACAATACTTTTAGGGCACAATATCTAAGCTCTCTGTTAATAATGACTTTTTAGAAAAGATATCCATAGTATATTGTTAAATTTAAAAAAGGTTAAAGAACAATATTTGCAATATGGTCCAGTTTTCATTTTAAAATGCACGTCTCATAAAACATTATATAATTAAGAAGAGGGGGTCCAAGATGGCCATGAAGTAGGAGGGAGTTGCACTCACCTCCACCCAGCACCACCTCAAAATTACAACTACATTACAGAACAATCAACCTGGATAACCATCTGAAGACAAGTTTAGTTGAACAGTCTTAGAGCTAAGGATATACAGAAAAAACCACATTGGCATTTCTTAAAGGTTCCCCCAGGTCTTTCTAACAGTCGACCAAAGTTTAGAACCACTTCTAGAAGAATTTGAGAGCTTGCCATTTACAATGTCTACCCTTCCTAGATGTGATGTCCTGTTTGGTTTCATTCTCACCCCCACTTGATGGAGGTTACATGGATGGGCACTGAATCCTTCCCTCCAGAACCAGCTGAAAGGAAAATATGAGAAGAATGGCCACAGGGGAAGCACAGGGGAGCTTGCTCAGCCAGCCTTTCTCAGGAACCACTGTACTATAATTCAGGATAGCAGTGGTCTGTGCTCCCTCTCTGTGTCTGATGCTTCTGGGTGCTTGTTTTGGGGAGGGGGTGGGAGGAGTCATCAGATTAAGACAAATAGGCCATTCGAGAGTAGCCTCCTCAGATACCTGGAATCGGCAAGCGACTTCCCAGGGACACAGCAGGTTCTGGGTGCTAGGGGCAGTAGGAAAAATATGCCGTGTGCTTTTCTTGCCCTTAGTGAGTTTACAGTTCTAGTCACAGACTTGCGGCCTGGCAGGATTCAGCCCTGAGATGGGTGGAATTCATCAGCATTCACATTTTTAAAATATTACATGTGAATACAGTTAGGCCGGGCATGCTTTCCCATGTGACCATAGGCCACAGCACTCCTTAACACCCATATTCTCATCTTTTTCTTCATTTAAGTTTACTCTTCTAGTAGATCTTCTGAGGACTGGAAAGAAGCTAAATTCTAATGAAAGAGGGGCGGGGGGAAAGTCATTTACTTAACAATCTGGGCACCTTTTCCAGCTAAATTCCAAGGTTTTCTTCTCCTTTGTTTCCTCTTAGCAATAATTTAAAAGGAAATATTAACCACAACAGTAACAAAAATCTCCACACCCACAACTAGCTGGTGAGGACCTTCTTTATAATCAGGTGTTTTTATTTTATATAAGAATTGTAGATTCTCCAGAGGTCAGAGGAATGGCTTTTGCTCAAAGTCAGCAAGATGCCCGTCAGAGGGAAAACTTGCTTCTTCTCAGAGGCTGATAGAGTTCACTCTCCTTAGATCAAAGGGACCCTAGGATTTTCTGTCCTATTCTTTACAGCTTCCGGCTTAGCAAGCAAACCCCTACTGGGGAAAACCGGCAAAGAGTGTAACATGTCCTTATTTAGTCGGACTAGAAGGGTAGATTCTCTTTCTCAATACAGAATTGTATGATTGGACAAGAGTACAGGCTATTGTCTGATTTTAAATAAAAAAAAAAAGTCAGGAAATCTAGACCAGGACTGGGAATAATTCAGAATGTATCTAGCATTAATGAATTTCCTTGAATTATATGCTGTATCTAATGCCTATTTGGAACATCATGTTTTTGTTCACTAACCATTGAAGGAAACCCCTAACTTTCTTGCAGGGAAAATACTTTGAAATCCAGTTCAGTCCAGGTGGAGAACCAGATGGTGGAAAGATCTCCAACTTCCTTCTGGAAAAATCCAGGGTGGTGATGAGGAACCCTGGAGAGCGGAGTTTTCACATATTTTACCAGGTTTTCCTTTATATTGTTTCTTTCCTACTTCCTTATTCCTTCTCCACATTTAGATTTGCTTGTTTCCTCTCAGCAATCAGGTGTAGACAATCTAGCCTGTAAGCCAAGGAGCATTTATCACAATAGAGTGTGTAAGTCGGCGTGCAGAGAATTCTCAGAACGAATGTCCCTAACCTCACAGGAGAGTAAGTTCTAGTTGGGGTGAGAAGACAAACAGTTAAATAATCAAGAAAGTATTGATAAGAGATCAAAACGAAAGCTTGATTCTTTGCCAAATAGAAGTTCGTGTGGGGAGAATTGACTGGGGTGGGAAGGGGAGGTCTATGAAGCGGGTGCAGGATGACATGGAGGGGAGGCTGTGCAGGCAGGTCTGGTGGCCTGGACAGGGCAGTGGAGGTGTGAGCAAGTCCTCAATGAGTTTGCAAGGGCAGAGTCTTCAAAATAAAAGTCAGGAAATCTAGACCAGGACTGGGAATAATTCAGTTATTGGACGAAGGACTTGAAATAGGCTACGGATCTTCCCCCCCACCCCCATCACCATTTGTCCCCCTTTAACCTCTCCTACTTCCCCCATTGGCCATGGATCTTTAATGTCAGCTCAAAAAGTTTTGACTTAAGACACTCAGCAGCCGTGGAGACTTTGGGGCTAGAGCAGCCGTGGGCAAACTACGGCCCGCGGGCCGGATCCGGCCCATTTGAAATGAATAAAAGTTAAAAAAAAAAGACTGTACCCTTTTATGTAATGATGTTTACTTTGAATTTATATTAGTTCACACAAACACTCCATCCATGCTTTTATTCCGGCCCTCCGGTCCAGTTTAAGAACCCATTGTGGCCCTCGAGTCAAAAAGTTTGCCCACCCCTGGGCTAGGGCAGGTGGAGGATGCTTTTACACTGCATTCCAGTCTTCGGCAGTCATCTGACTCAGCTAGTTTTAAAAATGTTTTTGTTTTTTTTTAAAAAATATATTTTATTGATTTTTTACAGAAAGGAAGGGAGAGAGAGAGTTAGAAACATCGATGAGAGAGAAACATCGATCAGCTGCCTCCTGCACATTCCCCACTTGGGATGTGCCCGCAACCCAGGTACATGCCCTTGACGGAATCGAACCTGGGATCCCTCAGTCCACAGGCCGATGCTCTATCCACTGAGCCAAACCGGTTTTGGCTTAAAAATGTTTTTAACTATTTGAAAAATATAATGATGCGATAGACAATATCATTACGTATGAGCTTATATACATTTCATCTACTGGGGATCCACATTAGATTTCTTTGAAGAAAGGCCTGTGACTATTTTTTGTTTTGCTCCAGTTTAAAGACCACTGGATTGGAGGGAAGTTATACTGTGTTGGTAGTTCGAATTCAGTCTTATCGATTACATAGATGTCTTAGACCAAGCATGTCAAACTTGTGGCCCACAGGCCGCATGCCTCATTTATTTGGCCCATTTTAGCCTTTGAGTTTGACATGCTTGTCTTAGGCGATGGCAAACAATTCTTCCAGTTAGTTTGCTGGTTGAAAGAATACATAAATGACCAAAAGCTTTTGTGACTTCAGTAATGCTTTCAATTGTATTAATCAAAGCAACATGTACAGATGATTAAAAAATAATTTTGTATAGCACACACATAGTATATTATTTACTAAGCACTAGAGCGAAGTTCATAATTGTTTCCAGGACCCCTTTCAATAAATGCTGGCCCCATTCCCCGTGCCTCTCTCCCCTCTCCCCCTCCTCCCCCCCATCCCCCCGGAAATCCCCTGCCCACAGGTTGGAAACCAGCAGACTAGGGGCTGTGGAAGTGGTGATCTTAGGGGAAGATGGAGGTAAAGATTCTGACACAGTTAAAGCTGTGAATAGATGAGACATCCGTGGGAGTGAGTGTGGAGAGAAAAACCATGTCTCTACAAGACCGGGGTCCTGCAGACCTTCTGCAGATTGAGCAGGCATTGGGGAGCAGGGAGTTAGTCAGGGGAGGAAAACCAGGAACCTGCAGTGTCACCGAAGCCAGGGGAAGCTCGGGAATGAGCTTCAGGATCAAATGCTCAGAGCTCTTGTGGGTAAAGGATGGGGCAGGGGTCTAGGGACCAGGAAAGGGCTGTTGGACTTCGCCACTGGAAGTAGTGTCAAGCGTCATTTCATCAGAATGGTGAGGGGAGAGGCCAGAGTGCAGGTGGTTAAGTCGTGATGGGAAAGTAGAGCCTGCAGCTTGAAGTTCATGGCGTCGATGAAATGCTTCTAAAGAAGGCAAAGAGCACGTGTTTGTAGATAGAAGAGAGTTAGGGTTGGGGGAGGTGAAAATGCAAGTGAGAGAGGCTGTGCCATGTGGGTGGGGAGAAGACAGGAAGAGTAAGGGAAAGTTTTTTCTCAGACAAAAGAAAAAGGATAAACAGAAGGGAAAGATAGGAAGAGGGTGGTACAAAAAGATTTCGAAAAGACTAGGAAGAAAACTAAGGGAAGCTGATGTCATGGATGACCTGAGACTTCTCAGCAATGGAGATGAGGTTCCCTGTTTGGGGGATGTGCTGCTGAGTTGACATGAGGAACTTGACCGCAATGGAGAAGTGTGGAGAGGAACCTTCTCTATTTTCCTAAGCCCCATTGGGTTGGAGCCAGCAGGGGGCTGGAGCTGGCTTGCCTGGGCTGGGTGCATCTCTTTCCATCTCTTCCTTCAGTGACATTTTCTTAATAATTTGACAGCAGTCAGGGGAGGAGTATTTACACCCTGCTGAGTTGACATGAGGAACTTGACCGCAATGGAGAAGTGTGGAGAGGAACCTTCTCTATTTTCCTAAGCCCCATTGGGTTGGAGCCAGCAGGGGGCTGGAGCTGGCTTGCCTGGGCTGTGTGCATCTCTTTCCATCTCTTCCTTCAGTGACATTTTCTTAATAATTTGACATCAGTCAGGGGAGGAGTATTTACACCATGGAAACTGGCAGACACTACAAACCCACTTTCTCCCCAAGACTTGCTGGTGAAGTATTTGCAGCACAGCACTGGTGGGAGCCCTTTAAGAGGGTCTTGCTCAGACCTAAGGCGGATGTCAGAGGTGGAACAAAAAGTCTGGGACAGCCATTTTCTTAGAGGTTTCGGAATGCCAGAGTGTGGACCTTTGGTGGCTTTTTAGTATGCACCCTGCCGGATAGAACAGCAGAACGGGCCGGATCCGGCCCGCGGGCTGTAGTTTGCCCATGGCTGATTTACACCATGGAAACTGGCAGACACTACAAATCCATTTTCTCCCCAAGACTTGCTGGTCAAGTATTTACAGCACAGCACTGGTGGGAGCCGTTTAAGAGGGTCTTGCTCAGACCTAAGGCAGATGTCCGAGGTGGAACAAAAAGTCTGGGACAGCCATTTGCTTAGAGGTTTCAGAATGCCAGAGTGTGGACCTTTGGTGGCTTTTTAGTATGCACCCTGCAGTGAGCGCATGGAGGGGCCAGCT